GATTCTGCCCATAGCAGTCAGTAGCGAGTAATCAATGGGAGCCTGGTTAAAAAACGCTTGGTTTTCGACAAGATCTGCTTAGAATTTCACATCCAAAAAATTTAAGATTGTTAATAGCCTATGGGTACACATGCCTGAGAAGCATTCTCATCATTCCATAAGACAGGCAATGTACAGGATAATTATCTAGCTTAATCAAGTTTTATTCGAAAGCCGGCGTTTTGTCTCGTAGCATTTCAAGAAAGTCAAGTGGAGAATTATTTTCAACATGTGTAATATTTTCGCCTCTGTCATATCTTCCCTCCCTCTTGCCAGTTACTCCCTTTCCCGTCAAGTGAAAATGAGGAGACAGTCAGTACGGGATATTATCTGGGCACTTGCTGGGATATTCCGATTCCGTTTAAGTGATCTTAAGGTTTAGCAGGAACCAAATTCTGTCCATTCGGATGTTCGGATTGTAAAGTCCTGTTCACGAATTGCCTGTGTCCTTCTTTGTCGAATTAGTTTTCCCGCTCAAAACAAATCTCTGTGCTGTCTGCCGTTATGTACTGCTTTCAATGAAAAGATAGATAAATGGATATGTTTAATCAACACTTTTGCAGGCAGAGCTGAATTACAGTGCGGGTCAGAAAATTACACACACAATATAACAATGATATAAATAACACTGATAATATTTCAGCAATTTCTCATGAATAATATAAATAAACCTTAATAAATAACATCAGATAAGGGTTAGGTGTCATGCGGACGTCAAGGGGGAACAATCCAACTCCTGGATCATCGGGAGTCCCCTCTTTTTCTCTGCCCTCATTTTTTCTCTTGCCTTCACCCTCAGTACAATTTATCGGCATCGCTTAATCGCGAGGGCTGCTTCGCTGGTGACTACGGCAGTAAGACAGCGAGATCTTAGGAGTCATGGGTTGGCGTAGTGGTGAGAGCGCTCGCCTTCCACCAATGTGTCCCGGGTTTGATTCCCAGACCCGGCGTCATAAGTGGATTGAGTTTGTTGGTTCTCTACTCTGCTCCGCGAGGTTTTTCTCAGGGCACTCCGGTTTTCCCTTCTCCTCAAAAAAACAT